CCGTTAGGTTCTCCGCGACAACTGAACTTGTACTTGGAACTACGACATTAGTGAAACAACACCTACCTATGTATCACACTAGGGCGGGAAAAATTGAGATTATTATTTTTAAAAACAAAAGCAAAACGCATAGATTTTTAAAGAGCAGTTTCTTGATAGTTATTCGTTAAACACAAAACATTTCGTAACACTGGCCAGTTATTTTTGCCTGTTTATATTATAATGTTTGCGCTGGTAAATCGTAACATTGCTGAGTTAAACGAAATTTCACCACGCAGCTTTGAATTCCATACATAAAGTCAGGTATGTGTTGCCATCTGAATAATTGGAACATTTCGCAACCAATCATCAAGAATTCTGAACTAAAATAGACGCTAGTGTCATCTACAAAGTCATAGAACATTAAATTCCAAGTGGATTATACATAAACTTCATACAAACTCAAATTAGCTTCATAGAATATATTGCTAAATTTTGAGAATGGAGAAGACAAAATAATCAAGTATAAGGTTATAAAAGGGAAAAATAACACTGAAAAAAAAATAACATCACTTTATTTGGCTAATAATTTTCGTACGAATATTCCAACAAAAAAAAAATGTCATTTGATTTGACAGCTGTCATCGCACAAAATACGTGCGGAGTGCATCACTATTTTAATTTGAAGATACGAAAAAAAACATATGTCATGACAGTGAGATCCCATCAAAACTATTCTTGAACGTGACATGACAAGGGAACAAAAGTGAAAACAAAAGAACGTCGCGAGCGCATAAATTCGGTTTTTATCAAAGTAAATAGGCACACGTCCCGTCGTAAATGTATGTTAGTGTGTGTGTACTGTAAGAATTGGTACGCAGCGCAATCTTATTAATTAGTTCCATTTTGTGCCGCATGTCGCCACTGTGCCTACTAGCGAGTGACAGCCATTTTTCTTTCCTTTTCTGTTCCCACCGCAAGATTACACACACGCATTATTGTGATTATAAGTTAAAAAAGAAACTTTATCCATGGATAACAGTGCTTCTCCTTTTATTATGTCGTGGTGGCCCGGAGGTTTAAGACGCCCACTTCTCATGCATGAGGGTGCGGGTTCGAAACCTACCAACGGCAAGTACCAATGTGACTTTTTCCGAGTTATATGTACTTTCTAAAGATTATTTAGACACTACTGACAAACGGTGAAGGAAAAACATCGTGAGGAAAGCTGGACTTATAATTTCTAATTATAAGTTTGAAATCGCCAACCCGCATTGAGCAAGCGTGGTGATTAATGTTCTAACCTTCTACGTGTGAGAAGAGGCTTTGCTCAGCAGTGGGCATTTATAGGTTGTTGATGATGATGATGATGAACAGTGCTTCATTGTGTATTAACCTCTTACAGTAATGTAGTGCCGGGTTGCGACGGTGATGGTAGACTAGAATACGTTTGTCACCAGAGGCCTTAGTGCGAGTTTCTATCACTCTGATTGGTTGATTTATTGGAGCCGGCCAATCAGAGCGCCGGACGCGGTCTCGTTTCGATTACTTGAAGAAATTCGTACTAAGACCTCAGGTCTAGTCTACTAGCGGGTATTGCACGAGCTGATCAAGGGCCTACAGGCAGCAACGCAAAACCGAATCTTCTACAACCGAAATCAATAAACTGGTCTTTATCCAAAATCTCTTCACTGTTTTTGACAGATACTCAATATCGATTTTTTTAAAATGGGGCAGACCCGCCACGGCCTCCCAATACCGCTGCAACTCCTGTAAGCCAAGTTCTACAGTAGATACAACCATGAAAACACCGGGACACTGAAGTCCGGCGCGTCCCAGGGACATGAATAACTTGGTTCCCGCAACGAAGTGAATCAGAAGATATTCTAAGAGAAGAAAAAAAAAACGATAGTTTCCACTTCCCTAGGTCAATTACAATATCGTGATTCACGTTTCTTGTCCACATAATATTTGGAACTGCGATTGGTTAATAATTACGGCCGTGAAACTGCAATCCATTGTCCAACCCTGCGGCCAAACGTGAAAACCCTTCTTTATAGTAAGGTCTATAGTCCATAGTGGACTGTACTGTATAGATGTGACGTGTGTGTGTTTATGTGTGTGTGTGTGTGTGTGTGTGCGTGTGTGTGTGTGTGTGTGTGTGTTGCGGTTACGATGCGAGAGTCGGATGTTGTGACCACAGTAACAATACACTAGCATTGTGGATACCAATTAACATATTTGTAGACAAAAAGCAATCATATTTTATGAAGTCTTGTTCTCCAGAGGGGTAGAACGTGGCACACTCGTTATTCGTTCGTCATTTTTTATTTGGTTCAATTTAAACTAAGGTCGAGTACAAAATGTATAATTGCAGACCTTTGTTCAAGTGTGTGGTACAATTGAGTGATCAATTTGAAATCACGTTCAACATTTCTTTTTATAAATTATATAATAACTAAGTTAGATTACTATAACACTGTTATAAGCTTTTCTGGTAGGTTCCCTGCTCGTAACTTATGGGAGAGCCATGGTTATGTATCAATGCCGCTAATGGGCCGGCTCGACCTGAGTGATACCACGACCTCACAGAAAATCGACGTAAAACCACACGTGCGTTGTGTTTCGTGTGTGTGTCTTGTGAGTGAGGCCCAATTAGGCTCCTCCGATCTCCCGAAGCAATCCCCGAATTCGCATTAACTCTCAAAGTCCTAATCTCCAAAAGGCCGGTAACGTAGTAGTAACACTCCTGGTGTTTCGGGTGTCCATGGGCGACGCCGATTGCTTACCATCAGTCGATCTCTCTGCTCGTTTACCGGCTTATTTCATTAAAAAAAATCTATCCAGGGAAAGAGTGATTTAGTCTAAATGAATAAAGTGCTCTAGATGCGCTCTAAATGTATCATTTGCGTCACTATTGTAATGTTATTTTTGAATAGCTAAAAATATTTTCATAATCCAGTTCATTTATAGGTAATACGGTATATTTATCTCTTAGTTACATTTCACAGATGAAACGCAGACGAAAATTCCTTTTCGCATAATACTTCATCAGTACACCATTATAGTGTATCTTTAGAGTAAATGGCAGCAGATAAACCTTCACCAAATTCCTTCAGTGGATACTCAACTGTATTTACAATTTGATAAAGTTGAAAGTCTATTGAGAGGGGATAACTTGATCTGCCTGTACATGTTTACTTTAAAAATATGTATATCCATATGATACAAGCCTTCAATAGGCATGAATAGGGCTTAATTAACGAGATTTTTTTACGTACAAACATGGACAATTTTGGCAGGTTTCAAACCAAAAGGAAAGCTACTTTATTTCCAAAGTCATTAGTGCTATTTTCGCAAATCTGGTATAGTTTTTGATCATTCCTTTAGTGTATGTCAGTCATTTGTGGATACATGAATTTATGTGTCTTATACCAAAACGCGTAATGAATGAGGAAGTTCTTTTTGGTGATTAAAGCTTTGTAATATCATCAAATGAACTAGAATGGTTGTCATTTAAATGAATCGTGTGTTACATACCTAGAGGTATAGTTTTTATTTCAGGGTGTCTATTAATTAAAACCTATCTGATTATTATATTAAACAGCCTTAAAGAGTGCTAGAGTAAGTAGATTTTTAGTATAACATCCTGGTACAGCCACATTTTTCTATCTTCGAAATTACCTGATATTCTACATATTTTGTATATATTTAGTGCTATCAGAATCATATCTTTATAAGGGTTTCTCTCGGTTCTATTTTAACAATATGAATTTACTTCAAACATATAGTTAGGATTTAAATGTAAAATTATTCGTATTTATTTCAACTCCAGTTCATCTCGGATTCATACTAAATCCATACTCATTTATTTACCTTAATCTCAAAAGCCTGCTATCGCAGTCGCAATAAAATACAAGGGATTTAAAAAAATAAACATCATAGATTTACCTCGTAATCCCTAGTTTATCCGATAGATGGCGTTAACAAAGGTCGAAGCTTTATGCCCTGGATTTAATGAGACACAACTGGGTCGAGGTTGAGTGAATATTTTCAGACTATTGTGCAACGCTTATGATTAACTGGTCATAATTTTAAAATTATGACAACTTTAATTAACGATTTTTGTTTGATTTGATTTGATTTGGGTGTGTAACAGGGTTGGGTTATATGACCGCATTCTAATTTTGATATTTGAATAAATCGAACATGATGGAATAGTTTTGAAATATGCATAATAAATTAGTTAAAATATTTATTCGTCTTTATTAATTTACATTACCTATGTTAAATTGCATACTTGATAAAAAACCCACCAACATGAGTAAGTTTATGTATTATTAAGTATTTAAATAAATATCAGTTATTAGGAGGTACTAATAACTACCAATTGTTTGTTGTTTTACTATTACAAATAACTACACAGTATCGATTGATATTTTAAACTGCGTATTTGTATATTTATTTGCAATTATAAATACCAACACGACTGGTACTAGGGAAATTAGATCATTACGTTGCTCACAGCCAATAAACTCTTCATCATTAACTGTGCTAATAAAATATGTTACACTAATGTAAAACATTATTTACACAGTACACAAGTAAATTACGTAATTATTATGTGATTTTAATTGTGTCATCGACTGTGCAGCTGCGTGATTGTGTTTATTCATTATACAATACATACTGTTACACTACATGTGTGCCAGAATTCTTACCTAGACAAAACTGTGAGCCAATTAAAAATATAACCAAAACCAACCTCATACGGTCTCAAATACAATTTCTGTTCAACTCTACGAACCTTTCAGTAACGGAATGAGGTATCGCAGTTTCTCTGTCTAAACAAGCCATACAGATTAGAGCCTACCTTTACAATTCCGGTCACAAAGGGAATCAGAGCTCTGTTATTACTAAGGGTTGTCAAAGAAAACAAAACACAAACGGGGGCATCATATTTAATGTTCAGTCATGCTTACAGAGGCTCACATTCAGTGCGCTCGTGTGTTAGGCTTAAGCTAGTCCCCCGAGGAGCCCCAGAAGTCTACTTCTTCTTCCTCCTCTTCAATTACCTCTTTAGTCTCGGTCGTCTCTTCCTCGAAGGAGTTCAGCTTTGGAACGTCTTTCAACATCGGCTTTAGCTCGGCATTGTCTTCGGAAGCCGCGCTGTCTACCGACGCTTCCACGCTCCAGTGGTCACTCCTTCTCTCCCTCGAGTTTTCCCTCGACCGACTTCTGGAATAAGAACGCGCTGATAGATTAGGAGTGCTTCCGAACCCTCCGACTTTGTCGTCTTTGTTCATACGCTCGAACTCAGCTTCCTCGAGTGACGTGAACATCTTTAGTTCTTCCTCGCGGGATGCACGCGACTCTTTGGAAGAATTCGACGACGAAGAATGCCGCTTTTTGAAACTCCGTCGCCTGCCACTCGGGTCGCTTCGTTGTAACGGTCGGAACTTAATCCCATCAAGAGATCTTAAACAAATTCATAACAATATGAGTCGATATAGTACAGGTGAAGCGAATGGTACCATGAATTAGCTTTCTACTCGTGCAAATGGTGGTGTCCAATGGGCGGTGATCGCTCGTGGTGATGGGATGCGGCTAGCTCACTACCGAACTGTAAGCGAACGTGTCTACATGATGGATGGTGCTGCCTGTATCTATGGATATTAACCTGAGGAAGTCTTCGCTGTAGACGCCTCTTTTGTCTTCGTCGAATGATTGGAAATGTATTTCGGGCAGTGTTGGCGGGGTGCGGGTGGGACTCAGTGGTCTGTAATGCCATGTCAGTTTCTCGTCAGCCCCGTCCTCCTCCTTCGCGTCAGGCGCGACAGAGTTTGAAGTAAAGCTGTTGTGATTTGAATCTGAAATAGTTTCACGAGGCGTAGGTGTAGGTGATCTGTTTCTTTGTCCGACACTGATCGACCCTGAGGAGTTCGTTAGAATAGTTTTCGTTTTCGTCGGTATGTACCTGTCGCTCCTGGTGTCTCCGTTCGATTGGCTCTCCTCGAGGGAATCCTGGCCGAAGCTGGAGATTTTCGTAGAGAACAATATGGCGGTCGAGTTCGTGTTGTCACCGTAATACTTGACAGCGGCCGATTTTAGTTTTCCATTTTTATCTTCTGTTAAATATAGGTATCCCTGACCGCATTCTTTGCTCCAGTCCCCCGCGGAGGATGTGTTGGCCGCCTTTCTCAGTTGGCTGCTGTAGTACTCGACGAGTTCTTGGAAGTCGGGATGCGAGTCGGGTATGACGCCACTCAGTATGTGTTTCAGGCACTCGATGGCTTCGTAGGCGCCGGCGTACGAGATAACGACAGACAGTAGCAGTCCCATTTCAATGTCGTAGAACAAACACGGCCTTACAAACGGAATGGAAAAGGGGTACTTTTGATAAGGGTCTCCGGGGAGCGGGACGGATGCAGCGCTATTACGCCGAGACAAGATTTGAACAACTGAAATTAAAGTGTAATAGTTGCCAAACTTTTGTGTCCCGATTTAGAATTCATTTGGCGTTGTGGCCAGACATTAGCTTTATGTCTCGTTCGATCATTCCGGCGAAGGTCGTGCTTTACGAGACTATAAAAATGTTTTAACCAATGATTGATTTGTTAGCCCGTGTAATTGTTTCTGCCGTGAGTTATTGATGCATTGGATCACTTTGTTACTGTTTTAAGAGGAATGTGTCTACTTGTAGCGTCTGTGATGTTTGTAATCGATCAAAGCGGTCAACTGGTCACACGGATTTCTATCTGGATATCTGTTTATCGTGTCAATCTTTATTTACGTTAATTTGTTTTGAAGTTGTGGTCGGGCGTTTAAGACATTCAATATTAAGTTACAGTAATGTCGTAAAAATATTCAGTCTTAAACCAACAGGTGCATAATGTGATTGGTTGTATGAGCTAATCGTAGTCCTTCTATAAGTACTGGTAGACTTTGCATAATATTCCTTCCAGTATTCAGGAGATGTTCAATGACTAATGGATTACTTTATAGGTCAAATACAACACCATTGTCTTGCTAATGATCTTAGTTTAGAGTCTGACTAATTACAATTGTTGCCAAACGTAGCCGGTCAAAGGCGTTAGGGAAACGGTTAATGGCGTCACTGAAAGGCCCTTATTGGTGTTAAATAAATGATGTATAAATATTTTATGGGTTATGGAGTAATGCCAAGTTTCATGTGGGGTATTATCGTTTGTTTGAAGTTTATCAGCCATAGTTGACGGGAAATTGGTCTTGACAGTTTTGTTGAAATTTTGGGTCATGTAAAAATATTTCCAAAATGGGTTCAAGGTCTTTATGTATTACAAGTCGGATTATGCTTCGAACAACTAAGTTTTCTTCGTTATTAATGGGCGAGTTTCTTTTAAATAGACTTGACAATTAGATATCAGGAACTGGTATCAGTCCTAAACAATTTGTTATTAAAATTTCAAATAACTAAGCTCTACACATTTTCTACCTTCAATTATTCGATCTTTAAAGTTTTTACTTTTCATTTATTTATTCATTTAACAATTTGCATTGTGTCTAAAATTTAATATAGGTACAAAAAAAGAGACAAGCCATTTCACATTACGAAAACAATCACAGACACAAATACTAAAAATCGAATTTCATTAATTTAGGCTTCTAAGCAAGGTGGTTTATAATTTAAAGAACCCAATCAATACAATCAATATACAATTTCAGAATAATGTCAAAGTTTTCACCATCTGTGTCTAATTATGTTTGAAGTTGGAAATTTAACAATTTTCCAATACATTAATTTATTAGAACATTAAAAACCAAAATTCCGTACAACCCTAACCAACTAAAGAGCATTCAAATTAAACATTTCGATTGAAAAATCCGGGATAGAGTTTACGTAAGTGGGCAACCTTGATCTATAAATAATATTGTTCAATAATATTGTTATGCAACATTTTTTTATACAATGCAACACATTTTATGTGATCTTGTATCCAGATGGGCGAAATGAGAGCGTGGGACCGAAATGACATTGAAACGGAAAAGAAAATACATATGATTCAGACTGGAGTAACGTGTGTAGATGATAATGAACAATTTAACGAAACATTAACTTTAACACACTTTTATCATGTATTTCTATGGTTTTGTAAAGGTTTTTTTGGCACTGATTAATTGCTTGTCACATTTTTTTTTAAGTGGGTAAAATCATCGAATCACTGCTCCCACCTGGGTGAGGCGGGAGGGAGTGTCAGACTCTTACTGACTAAAAACTACCCCGTTCCTTCTCCTGCACTTCGAGGCGGAGCCCCGGTTACCCGTTAGGTCATATGCGATTGCTTGTTGAATAGTACAGATAATTACGGAATGGGTCAAATTATCAACATAATTCTAGTTCTAATTTATTAGAGCAATCTTGTTATATATTTTTTGGGCGTTTCTGGGGCAAATATGGGCATGGTCCTTTCATAATGATGGTTATCGTTCCTTATTTAGTTCTTTTTTATTGAAATTAATTTACATTTATTATGACTTTAATGTATGCATTGTACTTATATTGTTGAGTTCCTTTTTTTATAAAAAAATCATACAACATAACATCACGCTTTTTATCCCCGAAGGATTAGGTAGAGCTATTAATTATGGAACTTAATGCTGTACAATGTAACACCCACTTTTCACTATTTATGTTACGAGTCCCATGTAATAGGGGCTGAGCCTATTGCGATATACCGGGCAAAATTCCAGACTCCGTGCTACTACTGAGATTTTTTATTAAAACCCACTAATACTTTACCCGCCCCGGGAATCAAACCCTTGCCCGGCAGTCGCACTTGCGACCACTCGGCCGACGAGGCAGTCTAAAAATTTATTGTCAAAAAATCTCTCTGAAACAAGAATGGAACCGCTGACAAAAACTAGTGATCCAAGAAGAATTTTCACACCGAGAGTGGAATGAAATTTTCAACACAAATGTCGGACTATTTACTGGAACTATTTTTAAACAGGTGTTTAGTCACTGAAATATTTTGAGACCGGCTGATGTCACGCTCACTTTTATCCAGAATAATAGAAAGTGTTTCGGGAAAGCTCGACAAATTAGAAAGTACTGGATAATTATTTTTTATTATTGAAATTATTTTTGACTGCCTCGTTGGCCGAGTGGTCGTAGTAAGTGCGACTGCCGGGCAAGGGGTCTCGGGTTCGATTCCCGGGTCGGGCAAAGTATTACTGGGTTTTTAAATATTCTCAGTAATAGCACGGAGTCTGGAATTGTGCCCGGTATATGGCAATAGGCTCACCCCCTATTACATGGGACTCATAACATAAATAGTGAAAAGTGGGTGTTACATTGTACAGTGGTATAATGTGCACCTCTGCCTACCCCTTCGGGGATAAAAGGCGTGATGTTATGATGATGATGATGAAATTATTTTTATACCTACCTATAGCAGAAAATTATTTTTTTTCTTTCTTTTCTGTAATCGCTATTGTAATCGCTATTGTAAAAAATACTAATATTTTTTATGGACCTCTTCGTTTAACTAACTACTACTTTTCTTCTTCTAATACAAAAAAAACAATTCTCAGGTTGGGAACAGCACTATAGTGGGTACTTTTGGTTTTACGAAAATTTCTTCGTATTTAGGAGTTTAGAATTGTAATGATGACAGGGTATGAAAATTAAAAATCGAATTACGTAGTCCGTAATAATAAATACGTGTCTAATACTTTTTTATTATTTTTTTTAATATGTCGTATTTTTTTATTTTGTCGTATTATAAAACAATACTTAAAAATCAAAGTTTAGAAGTGGGGGGCTAAAACGTCATTTCTACGTATAAAATGTACATAGAAGTGACGTCACGCGACATTTCAAATCAATATATCGTGGAAAGTATTCGTTTCTGTAAGAAATTAAAAAATACGTAGGTATCTAATGATTTTAAATAATCTACCAGTAATTCTTAAAATAAAAATTAGGCATCTACCCTATTGAGTCTTGCAATAGTACCACCCTCTATTCCGTAGAAGAGCTTATAACTGGTGACGCATAAATTGGATGTTGCATTGACTATTTAATCTAAGCTATTTATTCATCAAAGTCTCATTGCCCAATTAATAACCCTTATAAACGTCTTAAGAAGAAAATGGCGGACATTTATGTCATCGACCTTTGAGGGAATTAAAAAGACGGTTGCACACGTAACCAATGTTTTTAAACATTCAAACTTCGAACATAGAAACATCACAATAGAATATTTTCCATAGAGATTATTTGAAATTTGAATGTATGCCAGGATTATTTTATAGTACTTTTTCTCTTTGTACGATAATACAAATAGAAATTTTACCTATTGTCTGTATGTAATTAAATAAACAACTTCTTAAAGTTTCATAAACTTATAATAGAATTTCCATTTGAATATACTTTTCACTTTTGTACTTAGTAATAACACTTTTTCTAATTAAAACTGTATTTGTCAGGGCTAAACTCCCCGCGGAGAATTTAACCTGTGGCCGGGGCTCCGGCTCCAAGTACAGGAGTAGGAACGGGGTGGTTTTTAGTCAGTAAGAGTCTGACACTCCCTCTCGCTTAACCTAAGACGGTAGAAGTCATTGGATGATTTTTCAACGCATAATTATCAGATTTTCTTTGACACAGGTCACACAAGGTGGAGTTATTAAGAAATTTCTGTTCATTAAATTGAGACTACGTTCCTTTAAATTTACCTTTAATTTATTTACAACTTAAGCTCCCAACCAATTCACAAAGTAAATTCGCAATATTAATCAGTACTATACCCCCAAACGAATCCGAATGCAAAACTAGTAACAAATTGCCGAGCAATATCGAAATATCTCCGCTTTATATTGTCATGAAGTCATGAAGATTGATAGTGACGAGTGTTCTTTAAGATTCCATTTGATTTACACACAACATTTATCTGCCTCGTAATTTTACGTAAAAATTAAAATCTGTTTTTGATGTACAGATGGAAAGTCATGAGACGATAAAATATTCATTTTATATCTTATTTTAAAGGTCATTGGACTGTATTTTGCTTGTAATTAAAATGTCTCGAGAGTTTTCCAGAATTGATGACCAGAAGCTGATATGAGATGCTAAGGGTTTTTTCCGAGCGTACGGCGCGACGCGTCCCGCGCGCGGTTCGAAGAGCCATCAGACCACCACAGATGAGACCCAATAGAGCTGATGCCGATACGGAGCCGCGGAGGTCATTACGGGTTGCCGGGGCTCCGGCTCGAAGTGCAGGAGTAGAAACGGGGTGGTTTTTAGTCAGTAAGAATTTTTATTTTTATTTAATTGAGGTAGGATCGAAGATGTGTGATAAAAA